GGAGGCGTCGAGGCCTTGAGCACCCAAGAGTTTTTACTGGTGGCAAAAGTCCATCGCGGGCTGACGGGCGGAGGACGGGGCGGAGGAAAGGGACTGCTTGGGGCACTGGGAGGCCAGGGATATTCCGAGGGATATTTGGCAGCACACTCCCAAGCAAAGTCGAGGAGGCTGGGGGAGGGGGCGCGGTGGGAGGAGGAGTAGGAGAAGACAAAAGCCGACGGCGAGGAGGGCTTGGCGGCACACTCGGGCGACCGGCGCCGGGAGGCCGCAGCGCACGGGGTATCCCGGTCGATAGGCAACATGGGAAAGGGGGGGAACCAGGGCGAGGGGGCCGCCGAGCGCGAGGCGCCGATGCCCACCTTCAGCTGGGAGGAGATTCAGAAGCACAACCTGCGCACCGACAAGTGGCTCGTCATCGACCGCAAGGTCTACAACATCACCAAATGGTGCAGCCGGCACCCGGGGGGCCACCGGGTCATCGGGCACTACGCGGGGGAAGATGCTACGGTAAGGGCCTGGGGGCTCTCCCGCCACCTTTCTCTGCTGCAGGCGGGAGCAGGGAGCCGTGGGTCCCAGGGCGCCAAACCTCCGCTGAACGGAGCTCGGGGCGCCCAGGAGGGAAAGAAAGTGCTTACTGCGCTCGCCCCCTGCTCCGAAGCTTTGTCCCCGGGCCAGCCTGCTGTGGGGTCGGGCTTGGGACCCCGGGAGGCAGCGGCGCGGTGCGGATCCGAGCGGCGGAGGATCGTGCAGGATCTACCACGCGCACCGGGACCCACGCGTCCGCTTCTTCCGCCGGGTTCACGGGAACCAGGGACGCCCCAAAGGGGGCGCTCGGGCCCTGGAGCTTTGGCGCCCCGGCGTGGAAGATGGCCGCCCCGGGCGCTGCCCAGAGGAGCCCGAGAGGAGCCAGGTGTGGGACCCGGAGAGCGCCCCTCACTCTCCAGCCAGACGAGGGGGCGGGAAGGGAAGCCTGTCCCTGGCCGGGTCTGCTTCTGCCTGGAGTCTGGTCTGAGGGGGTCCGCGATGGCTGCCTTGGAGAGGCTGCCTGGGAGCTCCTGTTCCCACGCCCTCAAAGACTCCAGGACCGCCTCACCCCTAGAATCGGCCTTCTTGGGGACTCGGGTGGGGACTTGGTAAAAAAGAGAAAGGGCTGGAGTTTGCAAAGCCCAGGTCGAGAGGCGTCCTGAGCCGCGTGGAGTTAGCAGCACTAGGCGGCTTGGCAACAGGTCCGGCTGCACCCGAGGTTACTCTGGGACGTTCAACTCAATGGTCCTCTGTTTAAACCCTGCCAGGAATGCCCTTCTCTCAGCTCGCACAACCCCTATCCCAGAAGCTATTTCCTTCTAAGATCAGACTTTTAGGGCACGGAATGTGAAATGTACTAACTGGGGATATAGTTGAGTGGTGGTGAAGTGAGCACTGGCCATTCATTCTCTCTCTGTATCCCCTGGGAAGCATGGGCAGTGGGCTTGGAGAGGCAGAAACCGGAGGGGGGGGAGGAATCAAGAGTTTTGTGTTTAGGCTGTTGAGCAGGCACTTTGCCCTTGGGGCATGGACTGCCTTCCTCAGAGTTCTGGGGATTGACAGTATTTGGGCCAAGCAAGCAGACAGGTTGCATCCCCTGCAGCAGTGTTGGGAGTGAAGTACTACTTAGATCCTCACAAGAGGCTGAAAGTCAAAGGAGCTCTTCTTGGAACAATTCAGGCTCTCAACAGAGCATTTTCCCATTTTGAAGAAGAGAAGACCCCAGAACTCAGGACCTCCTCTTCCCCAGAAAGGTGACTCAGCGAAGAGCAATGGCAGTTGCCATTTGGGCCTTCTGCATGAGTTAGAACTTCTTGGCCTTGCCTGTCAGCAGAAAAATTGCTTAATTTTTACAGTTTACAAATTACATTCATACCTGTTACCTCATTTATCTGAGCCTGTGGTCAGCCCTGTAGGCATCTCTGATTGCTCATTGCTGTTAGGTTTAGAAACCTGCTCAAGCCCTGACCAGGTAACTCAGCAGGGTAGGTCAGTTGGCTAGAGGGTCATCTCAATACACCACGGTTTGGGGTTTGATCCCCAGGCCCTGGGCCTAAATTCAGAACCTGCCATCACTGAGTCCTCCCTCCATCCCTATTTCACTCTGATCTCTCTCCCTCTGGTCCTCTGGTACCTCTTTGGTCTTTGCTTTGCTATGGACAAGAGGAACCCTCACCCATGTCCCAACAGTGTCTGCTCTTTTCATGTTAGAGTCCCACCACTGCGGAGCTTTCCCCACTGGGGACTTTTAACCTTCAACTGCAATTTCGTCATATTTATTCAGTGTCTCCATTGCTCAGAGCTGGGCCCTGGGCACTAAGATGAGTAATCCACTTTCCCTTCTTCCTTTCAAGCTGGGACTTGAATGTTGACCCTCTGCCTCTAGATACCAGCTCCCCCACCCTCCTTGTCCAGCACTTTCCTGCCCTGTCCCCTCTTAGAACCCAGAGAAGGAGAGAAGAGGTCAGGATTATATTGTCTTTTAACCTGCTGCTCCACTGTTCGTGTGAAAAGGCAGCAGATTGAAAATGGAATGGATCTCTACCCTCCTTTAGACAGGGCAGGAGAGTCACAATAGAGGCAGACCACCTGGGTTTGAGTGTCAGACTTATGATTTCCTAGGCAAGGCACTTACTTTGAACTTCCCTTTCCAGGTCTATAAAATGGGCAAGTTATTTATCAGGCTCAAGTGGGCTGTGTGTGAGGTCATTGTTTAAATTTGTGAAGGGCCATTACTGTGTTTATGCTCCAGCGCGCTGGGA